ATCCTGGAAAAAAGGAAGACAACATTCCTATCCACAACTACCTACTGGGGAGAAGATGGAGCCAGATTCCTCTTAAAGACTGATGCTGAGATGTTGAGAGGTTACAATACAAAACATGAGACAGTTCTGTTAAATAGTAGGAAGAAATGTTCCCCAGTGTCACAAAAGTCACTCGGGATGTTTTGCAACTGAGGTAGAAACGGAAACCAAGGGCAGATTTACAAAGTTTTTACTAGAAGTTGGCACTATTCCTCTGTTTGTGTCTCCCAGAGATATTACTCTTCTCTAAAGTTGAAGTTTTCTCAAAACAGGTGTTCTGGTGTTTTGTCACACAATCAGTCTGCTGCTCCTAGTACATCCCCTGAAAGCGCTCAGGCCAGTGTTTACAGCTCTAGGCAGAGACAATGCAATCAGTTCCTAACTTCTAGGCAAAATAACTAACTCATTCCATAACCCAGCTGATAATTCAGCTGGTTATTGCGCTACACAACTTGGCCTAGAAGGCACTGCTTGAAAGTGACTTTCTCAGGAAGACTGCTCCTGATTCCAGTCCTGTTCACAGCCCTCTCTGTAGAAGGAGAGTTTAACTCACCTGGCCTTTTCTTTCCTGTTTTTTCTTTTTTATCTTTTTGACTTTTTTACCCCCCATAGGGAGGCTTCTGCTGACATGTATGTGTACATGTTTGCATGTCACCCTCTCTGTGTCCTCCAAGAACTTTTGCACTCTTTCTCCAATCAGATTGTACATAGATCTGATAGATAAATCACAAAGTTTGGACCTGTTGCTGTCCCAAACATAACAAAAATGCGTTGCCTGATGAAGAACAAAGGAAAGAAAGTCAGCAGAAATCCTGGAAATCAGGAGATATTAGTGCTACTGCTCACACAATCATTAAATTCAACTTGCCTACTGTAAAAATATCTTTTGCACTACATGGCCTCAACAGAATTTAAATACAAATCTTTAGTTGATATTGACTGCAAATTTATACTTCACTGATAAGACCATCATCAACTTTCAGAATGTAGTGACGTGAAGTAGTTGAACAAGACCTTGTGTGAAATACTGTGCAGTGAGCTCATCAAGGTCCAGGGGCCTGTAGCTATTCTTCAAACCAGCAAGCAGTTGAAGTGGAGGATCCAGTATTGCAGCCTACATTACCCTTCCTCTATTGCCTTTTCCTCACAGCAGCACAGCATTTCACTGCCCTCACCATGGAGCAGTTCATACACCAGTGACAGCCTGCAAATAACACAATCTTCGACTGCTTTGCAGTGCATGTGGTAAACCAGCGTTCCTCAAGAAAGCAAGTCCTCCTCCCTGCTTCTTGTCTTGTTCCTCGCCCTACTTGGCCAACAAAAGGTCTTGCACCACCCAGCAGACAACTGAATCAGGGAACTCTTACAAAAGACCCAGATGCATTCACCCAGTTGGGTCACCAGACAGCTGACAAACACTGACACAGGGAGGAGGCACTGCAAGGCAGGGAACAGATGGCAGAAGGCGAAGATCCATGGACATGTCTGTGGGTGGATCAGGGTCTGGACTGTGCTGTAGGGTTAGTTCTAGGACAAGTTCCTTTCAAATGCAATGAAACCTTTCAGTTGGGCTGAATGTTTTAGGAGGACTAACATAATTTCGTCAGTGTGCGACTTCCATTTTCCAGCTGAGTATTTTCAAAGCTTCTGTCACAACCTCACTGTGTTTCAGTAGCATTTGGAGCTGAAGTATGAACAATCCTATATACTTCTTCTGCATAAAGTGTTTAACCATAGTTAGCCACTTCACTGCTGAGCAAAGAAGACAACAAAATGAAACAATGCTGAACTCTTTATTTGGCATGCAGGAACAAAGGAGCTCACACCTGCAGAACAAGCACAAGTTCCTAGCCTTTGGTTAATTTCTTTGATTTGGCATCTACCTGCCTCCACTTGTACTTCCTCAGGACACACAATCAATCATTCAAATCAAGTATCCGTATGTCAAAACAGGCAAGTTCTCTGCCAACAGCTGCACAGTGCATCAGCAGAACAGTGGTGATGAGAAAAAATCCCAGGAATGTGCTTAAGACTATTTTTCAGCGTTTCTTTCCATGTCCAGAGACCAAACATATTCAGAAGAGTAGAATGGAGAGGAGCTCAGAGATAGGAGAATGTGTGTTTTCTGGGCTGTTAAATGGACCAAAAAAAATCAGCATTTCTGAAAGACTGAGATCATATAATCATAGAATCGTTTGACTTGGAAGGAATGTCTAAAGGCCATGTAGCCCAACTCGCCTGCAGTGAACAGGGGCACCTACAACTTCACCAGGTTGCTCAGAGGCCCATCCAGCCTGACCTTGAGGGTCTTCTCTGGGTTTTTCTTCTGTGTCACTTAGCATCAATTTGGTTTTCTGTTTGGATCTTTTGAATGCTTAACAGGACAAGAGAACACGTTACGATGATATGTATGGATTTCCCACACTTTTCCTCTTTAAACTATATTTTCAGTTATGTCAGTTTTCTCCTGACTGTTCATTTACACCACCTGATGCCAGCACTAGGTCTTCAGTCCTCTGATCAGGGTCCGATTAGGGAACTAGCAGAAGGTGAAAAGGAGGAGGGAGATTTCTATTTTCTCACAGCCCAAAGACTGTCAGGAAATGAAAACCTACTCTGGTAACATTCACTTGACTACTTGGTACAGGTTCATCCCAGCTGCTTGTGAGGCAAAAATCAGTTATTGTTGTGAGGGCTGAAATAGTATACAAGATCCCTGCTCCAGCACAGTATTCCATATATGCCTTCAGGCTTGTGTATTGCAGAGTCTAAAAGTAGTGTTTGTCAGGAGATGATATAACACAGTTAATACAATCAACTAGGAGGAGTAAGCAAATGTTTCTTTCCCTCATCATGAGCCCATTCTTTTGATAGTTTTTTTTAAGGGCATCCTTCTTCCTCTGCACAGAACTGGAAGGATTCCCCCAAATGTGCACATTTTTCTTCTCCTGGGGCTCAATTAGATAATAAAACTACCATGAGTTTGCAGACCCCCATAGCTAGAACTTAGGAAAAGTTTACCTTGGCTGATCCAGACAGATGACTCGTATACTGTCTTTTATTGACTCTGACATGAGAATTAGCTAGCTCTAAGCTTAGAACAATACAAGTGATTTTAAATTTTCATTACAGTTGCAAACCATAACTTCCAAACACAGAAATGGCAACAAAGGACTTTTCAGCACCTTTGCCTCTTCTACTGGTAATGCAGGAATAGGATAATGTAAGTAAGTCTGAAGCTTCAAATCAACTCTAAATGCTTTTGCTTATAAAGTCAAGAAAAAAAGATACCACATCTCTTTGAAAGGTAGAACATGTTACAAGTGCACCAGAATCTTACAAAACTTCTCACTGGTAGATACTAAAAGCCTTTCAAAAAGGGATTTTTTTTTTCTCAATGTAAACATGAGACTCAGTTACAGAGGCAAATGACTTTGTTTTCTAAGGTTTTGTCATTAATAATGCTCTATCCAGAAACCCATGCTGCTTCTTCAGACCTTTAGATTTTAGAAAATGAAACAACTTTAAAAAAATCGCTATATGATGATAGCAATCAAAGCTGAGACAGATCTCAATGTAATCCTAAGCATAGAAGTGAACACCATAGGTTCATTTCCAAGGCGTCTGTCCACATAATAAAATTACTGCAAAATACTATCCTGTAGAGTTTTTTGCAGCGAACGTACTTGGATTCAATGATGAGAAAAAACAAGTTCACTCTGCCAAGTTTAATGATTTTGACTCTTTATCAGAGCTGTAATGACACTAATAATATGCATGAAAAGAAACAACTCCTACAGAAAATTTAGATACACAAGCAATAATTATTCATAGATCTCTTCTGGACTTTACTGAGAACCTAAAACAAAATGAGATGCAGAAAAAAAAATAAATGCTGCCACCTACTGAGCAATATTAAAACCTACAAATTCACACTTGCCGCTCTGACCAGTCTCCTGTGAGATTTAGACCAAGGTTCCTACAGTTAGAACTCTCCTTTCTGCTCTTGTTCATGGTCCACTGCAACCCAGGACAAACACCACGACTATTTAAAGAACAGGCTAACACTATGCTGGCAGTGAAGGGGAAAGCAGAAGTCCCTGTTGGGTGAATACTCATGGCTACCATGTTAGGGTGTTTTCCAATAGCAAGAGTTTTCAAATGCTAGCAATATATATATATATATATATATGTTATATGTTTTGAGCCTTACATAGGATAGAATCATATAATCATTAAGGTTGGAAATACCATTAAAATCACCATCATGCTTACGTCTGCTCAAACCACGTCCCTCAATGGAACATCTTCCCTCTTCTTGAACACCTCTGGAAACAATGACTGCATCACCTGCCCAGGCAGCCTGTGCCACTCCATCACCACTCTTTCCGAGAAGAAATGTTTCCTAATGTCAAACCCACCCGAACCTTCTCTGGTGCAACTTGAGGCCATTGTCTCTTGTTCTACCACTGTTACCTGGGATTTGATATACTTTTATCATACCCAAAAGAACGTCAGGAACCCTGGCCCTGAAAGAACCTGCCAGAAACTCAAGGAGAGATGCTTTCTACCTTGCTCAAATCAAAGCATGGTAATGCCTCTGGTTCAAAAAATCTGCAATCTCCAAAATAGTGTCTGAAGAAAAGAGTCTGGGCATTGCCAAACTGAGCACAACAAAGCAGGGAGCTGGAGTCTGGCAGTCCCTGAGAACACACTCACAGTGTGTGCTGGGCAACAGTGTGTGAAACCTACAGAACATTTTGTTTATGCACGTATCCTTTTTGATGTTTCTGTGGGAAGGGAGAGTCCGGAATTTAATCACTAAAAAGCCCTTGTTTTAGGGCAACGAGGAACAAAATCATTCATACTGATCTGACATTTCTCTGGAACCAGGGGCATTTTTTCACAGCCTATTTCTATCAGGCCTTGAATCAGATCTCTGATCTAAGGATGGTACATACCTCTTGCTTGGCAGGAAACCCGAACGCTGATTTGTAGAGATCAATATTGATTCACATAGGAAAGTGTAGCAAATAAATTCACTCATATCCTCAGAGGCAGCACGCAGCTCTACTTTGCATTCCTCAGGATGTTCACTGGCCGTTCCTTCTTCTTCTTTCTATAACTTTGGCTCGAGCAAACAGCAAAAAATACATGAGTTATACTTAAAAGAAAGTGATGCAGGTTTGCAGAATTAAAGGCAAGTCAGAAGCACATTTTTGCAACAGTTTCTTAATATGTATTAGAGAGAAGCATATCTCCACTGAACTTAAATAAGAGAAAAGTGTATGTTGTGTGTTTTGCCTGTCTTTCCTCATCATTAGCAATAGCTAATGTGACAGCTTTTGACTTGACTGAAACAGATGGCTGCATGTTCTCCTCCCAGTCACATCAAGCCTGTGCTGACCTTGAGAAGTTAGAAAATAGCATAAACAAACAAACAAAAATTATGATCATCAAGTAAAATATTATCCAGCCATCTGAGATCAGACAGAAAAGACATCCATTCATGTATTTTTTTACACAATCATGCTATTCAACTAACATAATCCCTTCTTACTCTCATGCAAATGTGATAAGCTAGTGCTTGGCATATGGTCCATTGATGTCTAAAGGTGATGATAACACCCTTGTTTGTTATTATCTAGTTCATAAATAAATACCACGAGTAGATGATGTCAAGTCAACACATCAAGCAATCAAAGGGACATATGGATTTTAATGCATCTGACAGATCAAATACAGTGGTCACAGAACATTGGTAAGAAATCCAGTCTTAATTTTTAATTTGGAGGAGGCTGGGATTTTATTAATTCCTATCAGAGTCAGGCATAGCATGACTTAATGCTAAACACCAGCTTCTCTCTTAAGACAAATATTCTTTTCTTCAGAGGAAAACGTACGTTTAAACTGTTTGAAGAACAGGAAGCAGAAATTACAAAGCACAGTTTAAAATCCCACAGCAAAGAACAAAGGTGAAGTTAGGCAATACAACTACAGCAATTACAACAAACCTGAAAAACAGTTTGCCTAACTGATGGATTGTCTAAGTGACAGGAAGGTGAGTAACAGTACAATACACAAAAGCTAAAGTCTAATCCAAAGAGGTTTACAAAAATAAGATTTTGGGAAACTCCTGTTTCAGTTATTCTGCTTAATTATTATAGTAAGATGGGAAATGTATAAATTTTATGAGTTTACATTTCATCAAAAGGAAATACTTCTAATTTGATTTAGTGGAAAAGTTTATGCTGTCTGATCCAATCATTTCTGGGTATCAAGACTGAGAGGGTTGCAAGACCCAGAGCAGAGAGTCTTATGGCCTCAGTGCCTGGGTATTTCATCATGCTCCAAGCCAACACCTTCCCCTCCAAGTAACTCCTTCCAGAAGCCAATGACCCCAGAAATAGGAAGGATGAGGAAATGTGTTCTACACATTACCAAACACAGAAATCCTTGTACCCACATTTTCTGTACATCTCTGCTGAATGAGAGGTGTCTTTTCTTGGGAAAGTCTAGAAAGCAGTAGGACCTGTGGCATGCATCCATACTCCTATTCTACTACTATTTTCCTAAGTTTCCTGCCCTCCAGTGAAGTCACACAAGATCACTTTGTGAATAATTATTCCTTACACTGAGTGCAGACAGGCATGGGCTGTGGGCCCCATGGGTTCAAATCCTTCCTGAAAGGAGTGGTAGCTTGTGCTGCTCAAAATGGAGGTGCTGAAACCTGGCTGCTGCCAGGTAGTGCTGTGGGAAATGGCTCTGGTGCCTCACAAGGAACTGACTGTTCCTGGTAAGCTGCCAGGGTATCTCTTCCCTGCCCTCTGATCTGTCTTACATGAAACAATAAATTGCAATTCAGGTTCTAAGCAATGGCTATGTGGTTTAAATACACTCACAGGACTTGGCTTAACTTGGTTTAAAAATGCAAGTTTATTTATTAGGACAGACTACAGAGAAGCTACTTCTAATGAACTGTTTCTATTTGGACTGACTTTGTTCTCATTTGCTTGAAGAGTTGTCATCTGCCTTAACACATTCCATTCTTGTAAATCTGGACATTCTTATTTTCTTCACTGCAAGCAGAACAAAACTATTTTAAGAGGAGAACTACCACACTTTCATTTAACAGACATTTTATAAAGCAAACTTTTCCATGTTAATGTTCAGTTAAAAGGGACAATGTATTTATATGCTCAGTTAAAAGTAGCAATGTATTTATTCGCACTACTTGCAGCAAGCCTCACTGCAAAGTAACTGATGAAAAGATGTATGAATTACACACACAGAGCTAATAACTTAGAGACAGCCTCACTTCAGGCTTTGTTACCTTTAAGAATCCAGTAGAAATCTGAAAACCTGAGTAGTACCAAACCACATGAGAAATCTCACAGCAAGGACTGAAGTGTTCATTGCAAAGCACTAACACAAGTCAAACTTCACAGTCTGTGTCATGGGAAACAGTTCTAATGCTGGGAATTCTGTGGAAAGGGTCGATATGTCAGAGAGTAACACTTCTGCTTCCTTCTACTCTGACAGGCAAGTAATCTTGCTGAAAAACTAAATCCCATGGATTTTTCTGGATTGTTTCTGACAAATCTGTGTCAGCTTTGCTTACTCATTTTTTCCCTCTGGCTGTCTACACGTCTGTCGCTTAATAACTTACTCCAGTACCATTCTACATAGCAAAAATGGGTAGGCTCCTAACAAGGTATCATGACAGCACCTCTTTTCTCCTCTTTTCACCAACTGCACTATATGAGCCCCTTGATTTGCTGGGGTTTCTAAATTTTACTCAGACTGCAGGTTTGCCAATTGGTTTACCAGTTTTTGTTCAAATTTTGTTATATTCTTGGATAGTTTGTGATGTACTCCAGTCAGAACATTACCAAGCTCTGCAGATCTGCACACTTGTAAGCATAATTTGACGTGGAAAAGTATTTTAAAATATTTTTTTATAACATTCATTATTTTAAATTTTAAATTCCTTAAATTGTCCTCTGACACCTTCAACATTTTCCTTCTTCTGACCTACGCTCTCTCTACCTTGCTCATTTGAACTGTGTAAGCGATCTTGTCACAATTAACCTTCCCCTTCACCCTGAAGTCAGGAACATACTTTAGTTTTCCCTTTCTTGAGGTCTATTTCTAATTTTGTAAATGTCCATCACTGCTGTTCTGCTACCCCCACTTCTCCCCTTAGATGGAAACAAGAATCCTATTATTTTGTTATCATAATATAAATGGTGCTTCAAAATCCAATTTGATTCACAACAGCTCCTCTCAATTTGTAATGAGAACCTGCACTGCAGAGCTTTCTAGCTAGTCACAACAAATGTAACAATGTTTACTAGGGGATGATTTTCTGTGTTTTCAATTTGTTTTAAAAACTATGAAATTATTAAAGGGTAAAATGACATCTCTCAAGGAGGGTAGGAGATCTTATTCTTGACTGTTAGACAACCTGAATGGCAAAACAGTATTTTCTCCTAGCATTTGGCATTCTTACTTTTCTCAGTGAAAGGGAGCACAAGAGATTGGATCTTGACAGTAAAATCTTTTCACTAAGAGCTGCATTTCAGCTGGGTCTTTCATGTTTTCTGTGAGTTTGTGATGGTGTTCAAAAGTCCACTGTTGTACACTGTACAATAATACTTGCTGTTAAATCTTTAATGTGGCAAATGGAAATTTCACTTGCTGGCACAGGCTGCCCAGAGGGGCTGTGGATGTCCCATCCCTGGACGCTCTGAAGGACATGTTGGTTGGAGCCCTAGGAAGCCTGAGCTGGTAGGGGGCAGTCAGCTCAGGGCAGGGGTTTGGGACTGGATGATCACTGGGGTCTCTTCCAACCCAAGTCTTTCTGTGATACTATGTTTGTATTTAATGGTAGTGTATGAACTGTGTGCAAAGCCTGTGCTGTGACACATTTCTTAATACTATCAGCTAATCCAAACCGAGCCATTTACAGGTATCACGATAAAAGCCACTGCAAGGAATTGACATTTGAGAAAATGCTAGAACTGCTGTTAACAGAAGGTGAGTGAGCAAGAACTCTTCACTTAATGGGGAAGTGAGAGTGAACATTTCCACAGAGAAAGGAAAGTGAGGATGTGCAGCAAGCACCTACCTGTTGGAAAGGCAGAGCACACACTCGTTGGAGTAGGTCTTTCCATCAGTCCCACAGACTGGGTTGTAGTCCCTCGGACATCCAGGCAGACGGCTGTATTTGTCGCATGCCGGCTGGGGAAGACAGACACAGATGAGGTCCGACACAGGAAGGACACCCACAGACAGGCAGGTGGCAGATGGGAACGCAGACACCAGCTCCCCAGGACAGCAGTGCTGCAGCCCCAGGGCAGGCACACTGCTGGCACAGGGAGCTGCGGGGTCTCAGCAGCGGGCAAGGCTCACTCACCGGGATGCTGGCGGCAGCGTCGGGGCGCAAGAGCAGCCCTGCGGGGAGAGAGGCGGCGTTACCGGCCGGGACCCGCCTGAGTTCGCCCCATCCCGGCTCCTCATCCCGCTCCCCGCGCCTTCGCCCGACCCTTTTCCCTCCTCTGCCCACAGCCCTCGGTGCGGGACCGGGATCGTCCCCGCTGCTCCTCTCCTAGCCCCGCCACCGCCCGCTACCGGTGAGGACAAAGAGCAGCAGAACGCGCATCGTCAGCTTCGCCGCCATCGCCGTGCGCCAACGGTCGGAGCGCGAGGCGCTACGGGCACGGGGACGGGGAGACGCCGGGCACGGAGCAGAGGGGCGGGGCACGGAGGGCCTGGGCTGAGCCCTCGGCTGGGGGTGCAGAAGGGGGGGAGGGCTCCTAGCCGGGAGCTGGGGTGTCCGTGGTGCTTCAAGCACCTGTGGAGTGTGGAGGTGTGCAGGCACCCCAAGGAGTTGAAGAGGGATAGGGAACCTTCCCTCAGTATGCGTGATTTGTGGGGGTTCAGGTGCCTGAGTGCTGTCCTTAGAATCACGGTGTCACGAGCGTTAGAAGAGACCACCAGGATCATCACATCCAACCCCCCCACCCCATCCCCACTGACCACGTGCCTCAGTGCCACATCCACCCTTTTCTCCAACACCTGCAGGGACAATGTCTGCACCACCTGCCTGGGCAGCCTGTGCCACTGCATCACCACTGTCAAAAAACAAACATTTCCTAATATCCAACTTGAATCTTCCCTCGTACAACTTGAGGCCATTCTCTCCCATCATATTGCTGTTACCTCGCCACAATCTCCTCTCAAGCAGCTGCAGTGACTCATAAGGTCTTCGCTGAGCCTCCTCGAGACTGAACAACCCCAGCTCCCTCAACTTCTCCCCATAAGACTTGTGCAACAGAGCCCTCACAGCTTCATTGCTCTTCTCTGCAACCATTCCAGGGCCTCGATGCCTGTCTTGCAAACAAGCTGTAGGACAACAGGTGGACTGGAAGACCAATCAGCCAATAATTTGCCCAAGAGGCAAAGAGTATGAAGGAGAGATTACTCATTTTCTGCAGCTGTTGTGAGCTAATTAAGGAATAGAAGTAATGCTGCAAACCAGCAAATGGAAAAACAGATAATTAATAAACATCACAATTAAGGAGTTAATCTTTCATGAACTTAATTAGGAATGGTGAGTGAATAGGTACATGGGATGATGACTTTTGGAATATACATTACAGTTGTTTCTTTTCAAACCATTAATGAAGAAACAGCAATTTTAGTGAGCAAATATTGCAGAAGGGAACACATCTGTGTAATGATCACAGCTAGGAGTTGTTTTTGGCTTGTTTGTTGGGAAGGCTCACAAACTGGAGTGGTACTGGGTGCAATTCTACTGTTCCTAGAGCTGGCCATTTGCTTGTGGTAATAATGAACTAAATCATCCTTGGCTGTCTGCTGTGAAGGCAAAAATGACTGCTGAGTCTTGGTACCCAGTTTCCAGAAATTGACTGGTCACCAGCTAGGGACCTCAGGAGTTGTCTTCACAATTCAGCATGATGTAGACAAGAAATCCAGTTTTCAAAATACAGAAAACATAAGCTTTCCCAATAGACCAGGAAACCACACATTGGAGCAAAAGCCAGTGAATACCTCCCTTATTGAAACATGACTTAAAGCTGCATGGTTAGATGCCCATTGCTAAGAGAATACAGCTCTTCTGAGAGCAGCTGAAAGATTCCTTTCTCTTGAAAGAAACTCTCTAACATTCTTATTCTCCTCCTGCATTCTCCTGTGTTGTTTCTGTTTTGTGTTTAATTGATTTATGGCTTTTTTTTTTTTTCCCTAGGTATAGGAAACAGCCCTCATTAGAGGCTAATACAGTCAAGAATAAAGGATACTCACAAACACCACTCTTGGCTGAAGACATTTCCTTCTGACACAACACACCCGAAGTTGGGCGGTATGTCTGCACAGACAGCTCTTTGCATTCCAGCAAAGTAGGAAGTGTGTCTTTTGGGTAAAAGCAGTGGGAGGTAGAGAACATTTTCAGGGCTTTGCTGTTTCTGAACTCTTTTTGATGTTCCCAGTTCTGTGGCCTTAGCCAGTCCTCAGCCTTTGGGCTGCAGGCACTTAGTACTTGTGCAATGCATTAAGGAAAGAGGTAGTGGAAACAACCTTTTGAGTGATGAGCAATGAATTGGAAAGATGACAAAGTAATCATGAATGTTATTTACCAGAATTCATTTCAATTTGGTGCAGAAAGTTCAGCACAGACCAAAGGATGGAGTCCAAGGAACTGGGAGTCAGAGGCTGAACATTTTGCTTTGGTCTCAAAATGAGCATACTCAAACTTGCTTCTAGTGTGAGTGCTTAGACTGTTATCCCACAGAACTCATATCTTTCCCAGGGTAATTGTGATTAGAGAACATTCAGTAGTCCCTGTAGCACCGATCAAACTTTTATTCTGGTGTGCATGTGTATTCTGGATTCACTAGACCTTCAGAGAAGACTATAAAAGGCAATGATTCACTATACATGTACATACATATACATAAGTATAAATGACAGGAAGTTATATTAATACAGGTTTGGGGCTCTTAAATGCCTTTGTCAATTTGAGCTTTAGGTATTATGAAGAATCACATGTTCATGGCCCATAGCTTGATGGAGTAGATCAAACCCATGTCTTCTTTATGATTTCTCCAAAAGGAAAAAGGGAGAGAAGACGTGTCTATCAAGAACGTTACTAGGCATATTTCCTACCATTTCATGAAAATAATTGAAGTGGAACAAAACAAGGATGAAAACTGAGGTCACAAGACTGAACTAAGAAATCATTACATTCACCAGTGTAATAGAGGAAAAAAATTGAACTGAATTATGAGTTTGGCATAAGAGAGAATTACTTTGTTTAGAAGAATACAAAGTAGACGAAGATCTGTTTAAACCAGAAAGTACAGCTTATTTCCTAATGGATTAGTTTTCTGGAGGGAACCTGACTGATACGGGCAGAAGTCTGAAGGATCCAGTCACCAGCTCTGTTCCTAGCCTTACACTAGATGGTGCTACTTAGTTTAGCTTCTCTGCCCAATAAGCTTCTCATAAGCAGGCAGCACGTTCAGAGCTCTTCCCTTTTAGCACGCTCTCCTTGAATATTTCTGTGCTTATATGTTATTATCTCAGTCCTTATTTCCCTCCTTCGGATCTGTACAAACGCAAAGAGCTTCTTTCACACTCTTCAAACAAAAGCAATCACCAAATCAAGCTAAATAGCAGTTTTAATAGCCTTTGTAGTAGCCCCTATGTACTGACAAACTGGGAATTGCACACACTGAAGAGCAAGCCCTTTCATTAAAGCAAAGGTGAAGATGGACATACTTTGTCTCAGGGTTCCTTCTCTTGTGCTGTGATCAGATGGAGAAGTGCTCTCGTGTTCTCCTGCTGAGGACAGCTTCTTCAAATGTCATGAATCTTTCTCTGAGTAGCTTGCCTGGGGAAGGAAGAGAGGCAAATTCAGATGTAGCCTATGCTTTACCCGTATCCCATTTACCCAGCAACATCCAAATTTAACCATAAAGGAATGGATAATGAAACTGCAATGTTTTCTTCCCACCTTTTCTCCATCACATGTAGAAGTCACCTTTATTGTCAATTCCTTCCACATTTAAAATTGGCAGAGTGAAGGTGGACAAAGGAGCAGAAGAAAGAAGAGACCACCAAAACCAGAGGAAATGAAAGCAAAAAGGAGTGAAAAAGCAGAGGTAGCTATTTTTACTTTATGTGCTACCTGCTGGATAATAACATGCAAGGTCTCTCTTCTTGTGAAAGAAATTGGACTTCACGTAGAACCACTTATAAAGAGATGACTTTTGTGTTGCACACAAAGGCAGGCTTCAGAAAGCTTTCTCCAGCCTCCTCTCAGCAAGGCCTGCTCCTCTTTAATGAAAAATTTATTGCACTACTTAGAAAAATCTCTCCACTTAGATATCATAGAAATAAAGATGCTTTGTATTTCTTGAATTCAGCTGCTTCTACTCTACAGTAGGCAAGGCAGAGGCATCACCTACAACTGTATACTCCATGCTGATAGAGTTTGTATTGAATTCTGCTATTTTCTCTTCTTTATGGGCTCTTTAGAGAGTCCTCCAGCCCCAAGGGACACGACACTACCAGGCATGCATGAATCTGGCTTGACCAAGCAGAGTTGGTTTGAATCCTTCTACTGACATCCTTTTCCCAGGCTTGGAGAATGCTTGCTTGGATGGCTCCAGCTCCATTTGGAGCATAGGAGCTTCTCATATGTACCTGCTTCTGAATTTCTCAGAAAGAACTACTGAGGGAGCTGACCCTTCCTTTCACAGCTGGTATTTTCTGCTAACAAGCAGCATTCATGTGTGCATATTTGTATATGTATTACCTTTTCTCCAAATAAAAATGTCAACACATAGTGAGAGACAAGCAGGGAGTGACCACACTGCTGCTGCTTTATCCAACACTGCTCCCTTCATTGAGAGATCTTCAGGAATGACACTGCTGTAAATTATTGTTCCAGAACACTTCAGATTAGCTCCAGCTGCTAATTTCATACTGAAATGATTGACGATTGAGTACTTCTATGAACTGGCAACTTTAAATGAGTCTGGGTTAAACAAGGGCATGGGACACAGTGCAGTGCTAACTCATGTGATGGCAAATAACTGCATGCCTTCTGATACATCAGCTAAACATAGTCCCATAAATAGCAAAAAATATTCAGCTTTCTGCTTTGATTAAGGAATTTGAGAATAAGTTTCAAGATTGCAAAAAAAATTTTTTTTTCATACACTTGTGGCTCCATTTTTAGTTGACATAAATACATTGCCTGCAAGTTTTCAAATGGAATGTATAGAGTTGCAATCAGATATTCAATTCTAAAAAACTGATAATGTCTCTTTGCCAGACTTTCATAAGTCCTCTTTTAGCAGAGAGAAATATCCCTTGCATCACAATTACACCTTATTCGTGTCATTGCTTTTTGGCAATATATATGTTTGTGAGTAATTTTACATGATGAGGTAGATGATGAGTACATGATGAGTAAAATTTCATTTAAAAACAAAAAAATCGGTCAAACACTGAGAGCAGCCACTGCCATTGAACCAGCCTGTGGCATTAGTTTCACAAAATAAGGTCACATATCCCACTAATTTTATGCTTTGCTTCTCTTTTTTTTTTTAATGTATAAAAATAAATCTTTTATTAAAATGAGTTTTGTTC